GCTAGTACTGCTACTAGCAATAGCCCTATAACGGCCACATCTAAACATGAAAACGCCCTGAGCCCAAAAAAGGAACCCAGGGCAAAGACTTTTTGGGGCGTGCAGCTGGCAGCCCGTTTCTCAAGGTCTTTCGGCTCGCATGAACGCTGGGTCTTGCTGGAGCTAATCGAAGACAATGCGGGCGGGGAGTCCAAAAACTAGAGATACCTCGTTTCAACCGTGGCCTACGGTTGGCTGTGGGATGCATACAGCAAGGAGCTTCGTTCCAAGCACCTTTGGCTTTGGGGATCAACATCTTTTTGGCTGCTTTGTTCTATAGACGGCCTGGACCGTTGGCATACCAAAGACCAAAATGGGCCTGCTTACCGAACTCATTTAGATGAGTAAGGCTTGAGTAAGGCTTCGTTAAGAAAGCACCACCTTCTGCTTTCAGCTTCAGCTGGTGGTTGGAACTCAGGTAAGTCATGCAGATCAGATCTATTGTGCATAAGACTGTGACATTCCCACACGAGCTGGGATCCTATACACCGATTCTCTCTGAAATCCACGATGAAGCCCATGGCCCCTCACCAGAACAAACCGTCAACGAATCGACACTGGGTAGGCAAATTCCAAAACAGTAGTCATGTCTGGGATGGTGGTCCTAACAAACTACAGGTTATTATTTGGCTATAACTTGGGTGAATTCATAATTTATGGGCGCTTTTGTTGCTTTGAGCCGCCCTCCGATAGAGGGCAGCCTGAAGTCCGCACGCAGGCTACTGCTCTCATCAGCTGTCCAAACACTCCACACTGCTGCGGTTTAGGGCCTAAGGGTCTAGGGTTTAGGGACCAGGCACTAGAATTCAAACTACCAACTGGTAAGGTCCAAATCCTGTATCCGTCTTTTTGCACGGCAGCTGCAACCGTGGAAAACCTGTTTGCACCGGAACGCACAAGCTTTCGCTCGAAGCCACAGACCTTCATCGCCCAAAGCGCAGCCCTTAAACCCTCAATCTTGCTTACGCCTGACACCGCCCCAACCTCATCGGAGATGCAAAGGACGCAATATATGCTTATAACCCCGAACCCTAATATAGTACCTGCTAGTACAAAGTAAGGTTTCTATACTAGTATCCCATATATAGGTACTTACGGGATCTTTTGGAATAGACTATACCCTAAACCCAATAGCTCGTATTTTGAGCTATAGTCTAAATTCATAAGCCCTTCAATAGTCCCCTATATAATCCCCTTGCTCATTTAGACCCCTTTACTATACCCTAAACCCTATAGCTCATATGTGGTAATTTTCCTAAATAAGGGAACCCCAATGTAGACTCCAAAATACTGTAATCCTTATTATTGGGCCCCCCAAAATGGTACCCCTAATTTTGGGAAACCCCAAACCCTAAACCCTAAACCCTTATATACCCCTATATAACCCCTATATAACCCCTATACAACCCATTATACTAGTTTCCATGTTATTTTCCATTATCCCAAAATGGTACCCCTAATTTTGGGAAACCCCCATGTTCCCTTGTAAACGAAGCCAGCAGACAGGCCTTCATGGCCTCCCTGGCCTTCATGGCCTCGCCACGCGGAGCCGTGGCCTGTAAAGTTCTCAGCTTGTAGCATTTCTTTTAGGGCTTAGGGTCTCGGGTCTGGGGTTTAGGATTTGAGGGTGAAGGGTGTAGGAGTTTAGAGTTTTAGGGTTTCGGGCATAGGGTTGGTTGAAACAAGTAAGATTATATTCCCCTTATAAAATACGATAGACAAAAGGAAGATGTAATCTTACTCTTTACTGGATACCATGACAATCCCCCCAAAAAATACTCCTCGGGTGGCCGTCAAGGTGGCACTGAGGATTGGTAGTCCTAAGTAGGGTTGTAGGTGCCCCAAATGGGTGGTTGTCAAAATTATGGTCCCTTTTGGGTACCACTAAATAGTAGGTGCCGTATTATCATAGGGATCCAAAAAGGGACCATAATTTTGACAACCGCCGAAATAAGGTTGTAACTTGCTAAAAGCTGCAGCTGTCCTGCTTCTATCTTCACTTACGGGTTTGGAGCGGGCCTTGCCCTCATCTTTAGGAAGCCAATCCGCCTCAATCGCACCAACCGGGGATTACTTCTTGATATGAAGCCCTGAGGCCCTTTGTGAGGTGAAAAATCAACCTCCTGAACCCCGGACCTTGAGCATCTACTCACAGGCACGGGCTGCATCGATCCCCATACCCCCCCCATTAACTTTGCATGGCAGCTGCCGAACATCCGCGCAGGGATATCCCAAAAAGGATCCTCGTTTTCGCCCCTCAAAGTGTTGTAGCCCTCATTTGAGCGATCTCGAGTTGCTATAGCCCCCTTTTTAGGGACCAGTAGGGATCCCCGTATCAGCCCCCTATAACCTTCACATCAAACTGTCAGACCGACTTTTTCTTCTGGACGATCTGCCAAACAGCTCCGGCTCAACTCTGTCCTTAACTTTGAATCCAGCCAGTCCTCTTGTTGGGGTTTAGGGTTTAGGGATTTTGGGCTTACATAAAATTATGTGACGCTTTTTAGAACAGGGGCTAAGCAAGAGTGTACAATTGAAAGGGCATGTCTAAAGAAACGCGGGACACAGGAGGCTTCCTTGAAAATAAACAAGCTCCTGGCCTCAATCTTCTTGCGTTAAGGCTCCAAAAAAGAAACCTAAATTTTTGAGACCCCGAACCCAGTGTACCTCTATAATATATCCCTATAAAAAGCCCTGTAGCCTCTCCCTCTACATAAATCCTAATACTCCTGTACAGGGGTTAGGGTTGAAAATTTGGGGTATGAACCAGAGCGAACTGTAGACAAACATCTTCAGAGGACATCCCGAATAGTCCCGGTGCTCAACAATGGGGTCTAGGGTTCCAGGGATTAGGGGGGGGTTGGGTTTAGAGTATCTACTACTTAACTGAGAATCAGATGGAAAAGACACATGGAATACGCATAAGTAAGAAGCCTCCTTGTCAACCTCCTTTTTTGACCCTGCTTGCTGTTCGCATTACAAACATCAGAGTTTCTCAAAGTAGGGCTCCAGTGACACACCGGATATGTAGGGATTAGAGGGATTTCTGGGGATCCTTGTCAGGGTCTATAGAGACATTTCTGCGAAACCCACGATGCTTGTCATTGGTACCCTAAACCTGAAACCCTAAACCCCTAAACCGCGTTGATGACCCATCCCTTGGCGTAAGCTCTACTAGGTGGAAGTGTGTTGGGGCAACATGCCCTAAGCGTCCATGTACTCAACCAACCTACACATATCCAAAAAAGATACGGCAACTAGTACTAACCATTTTTGGTGCCCTATGGTGCCCTCAACCCCTACACCCTAAACCGATAGCTAGACCTTTACAGATACAGTCGAGAATCAAACGGAAGAAAAGATGGTAAACGACGCTGTTGGGTCCCTTTGAGGGATTTAAATGGAATTCAAGAGGCAGTCATTCGTAAGTTATTCGACTAGTGGAGAATTGAATGGAACATAGATACACTATGAAATGGACACCATTGTTGCGTCACTATTTTTGCGTAGGGGTGTATAGGACGGAAACTGGGCTTATGTCCCAGTTTATAGCGATGGTGCCAGCACTTCTGTTTTAGGGCTCATCAACCAGGAACTGGAATCAAGGCCTCGTTCAGCCGCAAACTATTGAGCGGAGGAGTGCCGGCCCGCTACAATCCGAGAAATGTTGTAGTAGTATTGTAATAATATTTTTCCTTACGGGGTTCGAATTTTATACGATAGAGCTGCAACCAACACCTTTGCAAATTGATGCTCTTTCAGGTTCTGCTGCCATAATCCAGAAAATTGTCGCATGACACTGAAGGAGTTGGGCTGCAGCCGCCTAGGGAAGGGCTCACTTTAGGGGCGCTCTGCCTTCTTGTCGGGCTTTGATGATCGAGACCCTCGTTTCTAGATGTAGCGGTCCCTTAACATAGAAGGCAGTTTCCCAAACTAGGGGGACCCGAATATAGACCCCAACATACTATCATGCTTATTATGGGGACCCCCTTAAGGTACCCCTAATTTTGGGACACTAAGTTGGGGAAACTCATCGAAACACTCAAGCACTCAAGGATTGGGCAGCGCTGGCTTGCTCGCATCCTCAAACATCTTGCGCGAACCCTGCCTTGCCAAATTCTCCTTGAAGGGGATCGTGTTGAATGACGTGAATGCTCGCAGCCAAGACCCTCCTTGTACCCTTAATTAGGGGTATATGGTCCCTAATAGTGGGTATTTAGGGGTATATAGAGGGTAGATGGAGGGTCTAGGAGGGCACTGAGATCTTAGCAGACCCCGTTCAATTTTCGTCTCCCTGCTTCAAGGAATGTCTGCAATGGCTCGTGGTTCATACAACGTGTGCTCCTAGCTCTGCATGACGTCATAAGCCAGCCCGCAGGAACGGAAAAGGCTGAACAATGACAATGAAAGCAAAGGGTTTTCGTTTCCAACCTATGCCCTGTATCCCTTAACCCCGAATACCTCTAAACCCCTAGAACATGGACTAGAAAAACCGTAAAACATACACCCTAAATCCTAAATACACCTAAACCCCTAAAACGTAAACCCCTAAACCTCCTTTATCAAAGCAGCCGGATGGACTGCTGGAACGTACTAGAACATGTGGGGCGCGTGTCAAGAACAGGTCCCCTTTCAACAACAAGCACGCCTAGCCCAACAGATGACATGTCCGCGAAACAGACTCGGATACATCGGAGGGCATATCTTAAGTTGGGGGCACGTAGTGCTCAACTTTTAGGAAGCGTATACTGTGCATTATAGGCAAACGGGGATAGGTTTTGACACAGCCCCACATGAAACATGCTCATCCTTGCTTGGAGGGGCGCGTGCCCTCAGGCCAAACACTTCGCATGCCGTTTTTTGGTGGTGTGAGGATGGTAAGTTTACCACGCCCTGCGCAGGGAACGCGGGCATCGGCGTGGAAGACCGCACTTGTGCTTGCTCGCGGTGTCTCTCGTGCCCTAGCGTCGCCTAGACTCAAATGTCAAGTCCACAACCCCACCCCAGCGTGGCCACTCGTCAATGCTGTTACGAAACCAGTTGCAGCGCGGGCAGGCATTGGAGATCTGCGTTGCGCCATGTCGATCTCCGTGGTGTGTCTGGAGATTTCTGCAGGCAAAGTGGTCTATCGGCCCGTAGCTGCAGTTTCCACATTGCACAGCGTTGGGCATGCTGCGGAGGCAGAACTCGCGCAGAGACTCATCGCTTTGCTGGCGTTCCTGTTCGCGCACCCACTCCCTGTGCTCCTCGTCAGCCTGCATGGCCAAGAGCAATTGTAGCTGCAAATCTTCCGGAAGGTAAAACCTCGTGGCTTCAAGCGGAAGATGGGAATTGCGGTCTGTGGGGCAGCGAAGGCAGTGACCCAATGTACGCCTTTCAGTGAGGCGCCTGTCGCTTCCATCGTCACTCTGCAGCTCGTTGCGCACGTAGTCGGGGATGCAGTCTGCGCATAGGAAGTGTGACGTTGGCGTGCAGCAGCACCTGATACCCCCTTGCACCTGCACGTTGTCCAAGTTTGTTGTACATTGTTAAAATATTAGTCAAAGTACGGAGGCTGACTAGGCAACCGTTGTGATCAAAAGCGTTGCTGATCCAAAAACGCACACGTGTCTGCATATGCAATGTGATTGCAGGATAATATGTACGGTAATCAGAAGAGATCCCCGAAGTAGGGCGACCCCACTATAGACCCCCAAATACTATCATCCTGATTATGGGGACTACGAAGGTACCCCTAAACTTGGAGATTCCCTACAGGCACCTGCTCCATACACACCACGCAGACGCCCGATGTCTGGAACAGCGAACTCAAGGCCTTCCTCACCAGGCTGTAGACCGCCACCAGCAGATGAAAGGGCTGCACAGGAAGAGGCCTGAAAAGGGTTTTTGGGTCAAGGATATATAGGGGTAATTTTAAATGGAACCTACAGGGAATATAGGGGTTATATAAGGATAACGGAAAAGAAAATGGAAACTACTATAGTGTAATAGGGTGTAGGGATTAGGTTTTAGGGCTTAGGTTCGGGGTAGAGGGTTTAGGCTTTAGGGTTTAATGCTCTCTGATGACACACATGATTGTAGGGGAGATACCTGGGTCTACGACCGGGCTTTCATGCTTTGGGGCTTTAGTTTGATGGCTTGTGGGCTGAATGTCATGATTTGGACGTCATAGATTATCTTACCATTGCGCAGGCGGCTCAAGCAGTCATTGCGTGCACAGTGCTCATGTCGTGAAGATAGGAGGATTGCATCGCTGACAGGGAGCAACATGCGTACATGTACGTTTTCCTACTTATGTCGCTGGTGGTCGTAAAGACATCTATTAATAGAGCCCCAAGCCCTAAACTCTAAACCTTGAGTACTGCCCCTACCCTGTAACAGTCTATATTAGGGGTCAGATTAAGGGCTATAAATAACTAATAACTATATTGTTGATATTATCCAACTGTTAAAGATTGGGGGCAGCACCCAACCTAAACCCTGTTAACCCCGTGGATCCGTAGGAGCCTTAGCCGCTGGAGCACCTGGGCAACGCCGCTGCGGCAGGCGACTTCATGGTGGAGGTCCGGATCCAACTCCCCTTGCCTTGAGGGATCAGGACTTGGGATCTACGATTTTGGGTCCCTTGAAAAGAAGATATAGGGTATGTAGGGCTTATATGGGTTTAATGAAGCATTAGTATTAGGGTTTGGGGCTTAGGGGTATTCTCCCTAAAATCGGAAACATGCAAAATAAGATCGAACAATACATGGTAACTGGAGCTTATATAGGGGGTATGCAGCTTACCTGTAGAAAGCATGGAATGAGGGAATGGACAAGAATACGGAGGCTACTCTATTATTAGGAGAAAAAAGGGGAATATCGTTACTATGGTGGTAAGGTATTTTTGAGTCATCATGCGGTATCTACATTGTCAGCTGTACCTAAACCCCTAAACCCTAAACCCTAAACCCTAAACATGCAAAATGATGTTCAAAACCAACCGAGTTGCATGGACAGGCGCTCAGCAAGGGCCATTTCCTCTCCAGTGGCAAGCATGTCCATGCTTGCTTCAAAAGATGCGCACACCTAGAGTACGAACAACTATAAGAAACGACTTTGCTACCCGAGAACAACATCAGGGATCTGCACTTTTATGGGGCAGGGTGTAGCTAGCATTGGGGGTTGGCATGGGCCTTGATAAACGCACCATGAGGATTTGCATTTCCCGCTGCTACCCTAAGCCCTACAGAAAGACCCATTTTGACTTCTCCTCCCGGAAGGCTTCTTCTTCTTCAAAGGTGCGCCGCGACTCGCGGATCGCTGCTTCGTAGTCTGCATCTCGCGGGGAGGCCTCCGGGAGACGCTGAAACCCTAAACAGTAGACTTGCGCGTTGAGGGTTTAGGAATTTCATCAAGGCGGCCCAAAGTGTGGACGGCTTCCCAACAGGGTGTTCAAGCTTCGGACTTTTAATTCAGGGTTTAGGATTTAGGTTTTAGGAGGCAGGATTTGGGATGAAGGGTTAAGGGCCGAGGGCTCTGGGCTGAACAATGGAGCTCGCCCTTAATAACTGTTCCACAAATGAAGGAGACCGTCTTGGCACCCGGACCCATGTTATGCTACAAAGATGTAGGAACCCAAATACGGGGCACGTATTTTGCTAACACAGGACATCCCCACGGGGCAAGACAATGCATGGATTAATCGTAAGCATTAAAGGCTTGTGCAGCGGCTCTATAAAACTGCGAGATTGGACTGTTTCGACACATGAGGGAGAATTTTTCGCATAGTATTGTGGACAGTATTGTTGTTTGCTGCTGCTGCTGCTGCTGCTGCCGCCGCTGCTAAAGTTGCTGTTGCTGCCGCTGCTCCAGATACCGCCACTACTCACTCTTCCTCCTACAACTACTAGTTACAGCGGCCGTAGATCATGGGGACCAGTGCTAATTGCCCGTGTCTGTTACCAGTACAAGAATGTATTGCAACTGAAAATCACCATCCTTGTGTCTGAAATACCATTACCAGCAACACCAACACACGCCAACCAACGTGCGCAAGAAGCATGGTTGTTAGCCGCTTACTAGTGGTTCGTAGGGAGCAAGGGGTTATCCCTATGCAATCGCTAAATACTATAAATGTATATTCCGGTATTCCCCAGTAAGGCAGGGCCTCCAAGAGGACTTGGGTTTGGCCTGCCCCTGACCTGCGACGAGTGGCCATGGCTCCAAGCTGCAAGGATGGCGGGAACTCAGCGAGCAGAAACACTGGAACTCCAGGTGAGCCACGGGCATGCATGAAACACAGTGGCTCCTGGAGCGCCGGACCTGCCCCCGCCAGGACAACATCATCTTCAACAGAAGACCATGGTTGGTGTCAAGAAAGACAAACGATTTGTCTCTGTGAATCCTTGCCCCCTGCCGATAGCCTGAGGTGAACTCGGGGGATTTCCTCTGGAGGTGAGGACAAGCGTCAATTCCTAAAGTGTCCGGACGCATTGCCATTGATCACGTTGAGGATCTGAACTGTCCATGATCTAAGGATAGGATCAAAACTATTCTTCTATGGCTTCATAGGGGTTGTTATATAGGGACTTAGGGCAATTTACATGAAACATGTTTTTTCAAACCTACCCCTTCCATCTAGCTCTACACAAGGTACACCCAAGCTTGTGGCCTCCATCTGCCGGATGGTCGCCTGGCAGACATTTCACACTCTTCGGGCATCTCAGGGGCTCTTAATTCATTGGGTTTTAACTACAGTTGCCATTGGGTTATAGTTTCCCCAAACCCTATACAACCCCCATATACCAATTGTGCAGGCCGCGCGTGAAGCTTCTTGCTTAAGGACCGGTGGATTTTTGATTGCGCACGTCCCGTCAACAAGCTGTTGATACTGCTTTCCCGTTGTAATTGCCCTTCCCACTCAGCTATATAATGCATGCAAACTCCTCCTAAACCCTAAGCCCTAAAATCAAACCACAAGGAATGTAGATTCCATAGCATCGCTTGTGAATTTCCGTGTTTGTTCTACAGCTTCCAAACATGATCCAAACATAGGTCCCCAAGATAGGCCATGAGAGTATTTGTCAAAACAATCCTCTAGAATCTCAAGTAACAGTCTCCATGTTGTCCTTATAAAATCCCCGCATACCTCTTGGGACCCCTATAGGGCCGCCCTTTTGAGAACCCCCCACCCTTTAGACTCTAAACCCTGAACCCCAAACACCAAACTCTAAACCCCAAATCCCAAACCCTAAACACCAAACCTTTAACCCTAAAACCCAAGCCCCATAGGCCTTAAAACCCTGAAACCCTAAAAAACCCAAACCCTGAACCCTAAACCAGTCCTTGGGTTCTACATGCGGCTGCTGGTGGCCTCCACGCGGTTGATGCCCCGCCGCACGCGGGCGTAGTCGGTCCAAAGCTTGCCGTTCTCCACGCGCGTGACCTGCATGGGCTTGGGAATTAGTAGGGTTTGGGGAGTACGTGGGGATTACGGTTTAGGGATAAGGGTTGAGGAGTTAGGGTTTTGGGACCAAAAAAAGTTTAAGGACTAAGGTTTAGGGATGAGGGTTTAGAGTTTACGGCTGTGTGTTAAGGGACATTACCCTCAAAACGGAGAACTATATGGACAACAACATGGATAATCAAATGGAAAGTAGACTAGGACTACATGGCAGTTTGAATCGGATTGGGCTTCCAACAATTAGGGCACCGGTCTTGCGGTCTCACAGTAAGGATTGTAGTGCTTGGGGTCTATATTGGTGTCCCCCTACTTATGGAAACTACCATATCTTGCATGAGCGGCTTTCAGATGCTGAAAATTCGCCAGCTCCAGATCAAATCCAGATTTGTATTGACTGAGAGGATTTCATCCCGCACTTGACATCTCACAATCTTACTGGCTCTGAGTAGGTAATAAGGGAAGGGAAGACATAACCTATTCCCTTATTCCCTATACTCAGAGCCAGTAAGTAATGAGAGCTGCAAAGGAAACTAAAACCAATGCATTGGGCGACCATGACTAACTTTCAGTGCTAACAGCCTTGTCAAACGGCTCTACGTCATGCATAGCTACTGCAGGATTTTCAGCTCGACATGCGTGATTCTCAAAATTATGCCCCCCTTTGGTTCTAGATTATATTACGGCACCTAACATTTGGGTGTACAGGATTTTCAGTATCCGTACTTTTTTCCAGGCAATGCTGCTCCTATTGCTCCAAGCTCAAGGTCCAAATCCTGGATGAATCAGGTTCCCCGGAGATTTATATTGCCCCTCCCCAAAAAATCTCTTGTGCAACTTAAGCGGGAGCTACTCGTTCAAACTACCACGACATTCGTCTTGTGTACCTTGGTGTGATGCGTCATGATGCGTCCTTGATCCACAAGTGCTGGACGAACTTACACTCCCCACTTCAGGGGCTTCAAGCGGTTGCCCGCTTCTTGTGCATACCCTGAACCCGATTAACGAGTGAATTATGAGGGGCCTACACAAATATGTAAGCAGAACCAAGGTTGAGTATTTTCGACTATCTGTACATATATATATATATTATATACACGCATGAATTTCAAGACTTCTATAGCACATGTGCGCCATGCATCTGGGACCTCAGGAGTTTCGGATTCGGAGAGAGGAACGGCAAATGTCAGACCCATCATCCAGAACTGCTACAGAATGAAAGGCTCTTGCGCAGATGTTTTGGGCCAACAGCAAGCTTAAGACATTACGGAGATGAGACACCTCTGAGAACGCACGCATGAACATGCTCCATCCTGAAGCTTCATGGC